TGCGCCACGCTGGGAGGCTGCACGGGGAACTCCCGATCGATGCTCTCCCACCAGTGGCACGCAGCAAAGGAAGGGTTTAACCCAGGAACCCAGAGCAGCTCCCGTGGGACCACGTTTGGAGCTTGCGCTTAAGAGCCACGCTCCGTCCTCAGAGGCTGTGCGAGGGGGTGATGCCACTCGGGGTACAGAGGGTCAGGCTGCCGGGGCGTACGGCCGAGGAGATGGAGCTCCGGTTGCAGCATACACTGAGAATTTTAAGGTCGAAATCACACTGCTTGATCTTTGCTCAGTGAGGAGGGACAAACCTCCCCCAAGTGCTTCTCACTTCCCTGTCGAGGGCACACCAGGGTGGAAACTGCAAGTCTCCGGCTGCTATTTAGAGAGGCAGGTTTCCCCTGCAAAACCCCGAAAGCCGGAGAGCAGGGCTGGGGCTCTCACTCCAGGGCCACGTCCCATCACGCTCAAGCAGCACAGGCAACGCTGAAATCATTATTGCCTTTGCCATCGGCTTTAGCTCCGACGGCGAATGGGCCACAGGCTCTGCTGCCTGCCCAGGGCACAGCGGTACTGGGACGGGTCTGCGCACGGACGGTCCCCAGCTACGTGCAGTCAAAGGTGTGTTTTCCCCCCCAAGCCCTTGCACCATGCAGCCCCCCCCTCCCAGCCATGTCTCTGCCTTCCTGCTCCCTCCCGGGATGCTCCACAGATCTTCCCAGTGGGAGACTCAAGCCCAGCAATGACCCCATCCTTTGCATCAGATGCAGGTGCAGAGCCGCGACACGCGGCACAGCGTTGGTGCTGTGGCCATGGTGTGCCTCCTCTCCCAGTCCTTGCTCCGAGCCCCGTGGTCCATCAGATGCTGCTGACGCTGGTTCCCTCCCTCCCACAGGAGCTGGGACACCATGGGCCCCATCCAGCTACCACTGGACCCAGCAGCCGTGGGGTGCTGGGTTTCTCTGGTTTTGGCTTTGCTCCCTGTGAGCAGATTCAGCCCCCGATGTCCCTGCAGCGGACGCAGCGTGTTGCACCCTGCAAGCGGCCCTTTGGTCTCTCTCGGTTGCAGATCACCATGGTAAGCACAAAGTAGGAGTTTTTGAACCAAACGGAAAAAACCTTGACGCTGCCCCGCTGATGTTTATAGAAAGTAACAGGTATTGCTTCTTCCTTCCCCCTTCAGCTGCTTCTGCAGAAAGGTCCCACCGGACCGAGCTGAGTCACTGTCCTCCTCTGCCCCCACAGCCCCTCGCCCCTTCCCGGCACCACGGCCACGGCCACGACACAGCCCTGCCCAGCACCCCTGTGGGAAAAGGGGAGAAACCTCCAGAAACGAATGCATTGCCAGTGGGAAAAAGAGAAACCAGTAAGCGCCCAGTCTGGCTTTGCTTGCGCTGGACGTTCCCTATGAAGCGTCCAGATCCACTCGGGGTATTTTGGCGGTCGGAGGCTCCAGGGCAGCGACAGCAGCGATGGCAGCCCGCTCCCTCCTGCGCCGACTGAGCGAGGGCCGATGCTCTCAGCCCCACGGTGCGGTCTGAACCCCATCGCTGACACCCCGGAGGGTGTTGTCTGCCTGCTCCTTCGCCCGCTTGCTCATCGAGTCCATTCCACTTGCAGGGTGAGGTGAGATCTAAAAATAAATACAGTTATGCTCTCGGAGGCTGCCAGCAGCGCAGAGGTAG